AGGCTTTTGTGAGTCTTTTAAGTTATTGTGTCCTTTCATTAAATATTTGTATTAAATATTTGTATTTGTATTAAATATTTGTATTAAATATTACAGAGAAAACCTTTTTTTGATCTTAGGAGATACTCGTTGGCAGAGATAGACTTTAGCTATTTCATGTGATTCTGGATGGATCAGTTGGCATTGCCCCATGGGAGGAAAGGTTTGCTTTAAGTTTCTCTAGGTGGCTGTTGGCTACCTTTGTTCTGAATTCTTTTATTATCATAAGGATTATTGGTATATTTGGTTATGCATAATGGGCACATCCTTTTGTTTTTTTTCTTGTTTTTTGAGACTGGGTCTCACTATGTAGAGCCAGAACATGCTGCTACTTGGGTTCAGTTATTAGACAGGTTTGCAAGTAGGGCCTCAGAGTTAGGTGGATTTGGCATGGGCGGACAAATTGCTATGCTTGGTAAAAATGATTCACTGGAACCCAGTGTGGTGGTGCATGCCTGTGAGCCTAGCATTTGGGAGGCTGAGGCAGGAGAATTGCCATAGGCCAGTCTGAACAATATAGTGATACCCTGTTTCAGATAAAACCAAAAATTTTGCTTGAGATTTGCCTCTGTCCTTGGGCAGGTTGTAGGAGTGGGCTTTGCGGCTGTAGTGAGTGCTGACTGAATGTCCAGTGGTAGCACAACTCTTGTCTGTTCACTGTCAGGATTCCATAGGGTTCTTCTCCTTCCCTAGTTGAGGCCTATCTTGGCTGGCCCTTTAGCGATCAGCTAAGCAGCACTTCCCACCTCCTATGTGAGTGACCAGCTCAACTTTGCTGGCTGGTCTTGCTTTCAGCTGGCTCAAGTGCTTTCATTAAAATGTGCACCGTTGTCTCTTGTGTGCTCCATCTCCTTGCATTGTTTCTATCTGGCCTGAATTTCCTCTAGGAAATTCTGGTTAGGAGAGAATGAGTGGGCTACCCAGAAAGTGTCTTAGGACACTAGGGGTTCTGGATGTCTGCTCCATTGTTTTCTTTTCCCTCTGTGGAGACTGCGTCCTCAGGCTTTCCCTCCATGTGACACTTTGGACAGGGCAAGGCTGTCAAAGGGAGACTATTTCTCTTGCCCTTTCAAGAGCAGATTTTTTCATTCATTATTTTTTATTCACGTCCATGGAATGTGTGAGTGATGCAGTCTTATTCCCATGTGCTAGGGTTTTCCCCAAGGTGCTTTTGTCTGTGAACAGTTGCTAGTTGACCTTTGGGTGGGTGGGGTGAAGCCTAGGCCCTCCTGCTCCACCCTCTTGCTAATGCCAAGCCACCCAGTTTATCCCCCAGCAGTACAGGACTCCAGTCCTCTGCAGTGCTGGTTAACAGGTGTTATCATAGCCAGTGTAATGACTATAAGGTGGTATCTCATTGTGGTTTGGTTGCATTTTTCTAGTGATGGTGATGTTACTTATTTTTTTCATCTTTATTTTCATCTTTATGTATTTATTGCCCATTCATACATCTTCTTTTGAAAGATATTTATTCAAACCTTGTGTATGTGCGTGTGTGTGTGTGTGTGTGTGTGTTACTGGGGACTAAACCTGTAGCCTTTGTGCTAAGTACACCCCCAGACTTCTTTTTAGTTTTTATTTTATTTTATTTTATTTTATTTTATTTTATTTTTTGAGACAAGGTCTCAATAATTTGTCCAGGCTGACCTCAAACCTACAATCCATAAAATCCTTTGCACTTTTTTTTTTTTTTTTTTTTTTTTTTTTTGGTCTTTTTGAGACACTCTACAGGCTGGTCTCAAACTTGCAACAATCCTCCAGCCTCAGCCTCCCCAGTGTTGGGATTATAGGCATGCACCAGCACACCTGACGTTTTTGCACATTTTTAATAGGGTTGTTTGTTTTGTTGTCATTGGATCTAGGAATTCTTCATATATTTTAAATATACATCCCTGTATAGATATGTGATTGCAAGTATTTTTCTGTGGGTTACTTTTTTAGTCTACTGATAGTGTATGTGTGTGTGTGTGTATGTGTGGTATTGGGGACATAACTCAGGGTTTTGTGCATGCTAGGCAAACACTACCATTGAGCTACACCCCCAGGTTGATAGTATTTTTTAATGTACAAAAGATTTTAATTTTGATGAAGTACAGTTTATCTGGGTTTTTGTTGTTATTTTGTTTTGTTTTTGGCTTTGCTTTTGGTATCATATCCAAGAAAACATACCCAAATTCATTGCCATAAAGAATATTTTCTTCTCAGAGTGCTATAATTTGAGACATTGGCTTAAGTGTTTGATCTATCTTGAATGTAGTTTTTTTTTTGTTTTTTTTTTTTCTTTTATTTGTCTTTTTGAGACAGATTCTCGTCATGCAGTTTAGGCTGGCCTTGAGCGCACTTTGTAGCCCAGGCTGGTCTCGAACTTGCAAGGGTCCTCCTGCCTCAGCCTCCTGAATGCTGGAATTAGAGGTGTGCACCACCAGGCACAGTTCTTTGAATGTATTTTTAAACTTCATTTATCTTATGATCCTGAGGATTGAACCTAGTGCTTCATACATGTGCCAAGCAGGTACTCTACCATTGAGGTAGCAGCCCCAGTGAGTGCATTTTTATGTGTGGGGTTAGGTAAATATTTGGCCTCATTCCTTAAATGTGTCTATCCGGCTGTGCCAGCATCATTTATTACACTCAGTCTCCTTCTCCATTGGTGCCCTTATTGAAATCACATGACCATGCATGTGAGGACTTCTTTCTGAGCACTGTGTTCCATTCTACTTGTGTCTGTTAGTTCCCATGTGGCTCTGTTTATGCCGGTATCACATTGCTTTAATTACTGTACCTTCCGATAAGTTTTAAAACTGGGAAGTGTGAATCCTCTGGCTTTTTCTTTTTCAAGGTTGTTTTGAAACATGCTTCCATACATGTTTTGAAACGTACATCCATGTAGATGTATTACAATGGCAACAAAGAGACCCATAACGTTTTGCTTAAACTCAGGAGTAAAAACATTGAGTTTCAATAGTTAAAAATATTTAATGAGTAATATTCTAAAATCTAGATCATTTGCCAAATACCAAAAACTTTCTACAATTCCGCATCTGGGTTGCTAAAGTCAGTTGATAGAAGAAATTTGAATCTAAGATCCCAGATGAGAATTTTGAAATTTTCATCTGTGTGTCTATAATTTAAGAGGAGATAAAATTATGGCAAGACAGGTTGACTGGACCAAGCATCAGTTCTTTTTAAAAAAAGGGCCATTGTGGGGCCGGGGATATATAGCTCAGTGACAAAGCACCTGTCTGGCAAGCGCAAGATCGTGAGTTTGATCCCCAGTACCAAAAATATAAAATGGGCTATCTGAAAGACTAAGAACCTCACTTAGGTGACCTTAATGGGCATTGAAGAAGTTAAATGTAAAATTGCTTAGGTAAAAATTTGTTGACTTTAGAAAAAAAGATTGTTTTGACTCTTTGGAGTTCCTTGAGATTCTGTATGAATTTTAGGATGGGTTTTTCTCTTTCTGTAAGAAGCACCAGTGTGATTTTGTTAGACTTGCCATGGTGCTGTACTTGACTTTGGTAGTAGTTACGTCTTAAATACATTTATGCATGTCTGTATAACTTTAATTTCTTTTCTCAGTTATTTTATTGCTTGTGATGCTATTATAAATGGAATTATTTTTTTAGTTCGTTGGTGTATTGAAACAAAACTAAGCTTTGTTTGTTGATTTTGTATTCAGAACATTGCTGAATTTATTAATTTTATTCTAACTTTTTAATTTTTAGTAGTTTTTTTGTTGTTGTTGTCTTTTTCCTTTTTATCGGTACCAGGGATTGAACTCACGATTGCCTGCTTGCAAGGCAGGCGCTGATGCCGCTGAGCTAAATCCCCAGCCCCTTTAGTAGTTTTTTGTTTATTTGTTTTTCTTTTTTTGCTATGCTGGGGCTCAAACTCAGGGTATTGTGTATGCTAAACAAAGTATGTATTACTGAGCTACACTCACAGGTCAGGGTTTTTGATGTATAAAACCATGTCAGACTAGGCACTGTGGCACACACTTGTGAGCCCAGCACCTTGGGAAGTTAAGCTAAGTGGGGTTATAAATCTGGGTTCTATATGAGCAATTTTGCAGCTTAGTGAGACATGTCTCAGAAAGGATGGATGGATGGATGGATGGATGGATGGATGGATGGATGGCTAGTGTGAATATAGCTCAGTGTAAAGGCCCTGTGTTCAACTTCCAATAGGGAAAAACAACAAACAAGCCTCATGTCATCTGTGAATAGAGATAATTTTACTTTTCCTTCCAACTTTAATTTTTTCCTCTAATTTTTAGAGCTTCCAATTGTATGTTGTTGAATCATAAGACAGAAGCAGCCATCCTTGTCTTAAATTCCTTGTTTGTTTTTGTTTTTGAGACAGAGTCCTGATATGTTACTGAGGCTGGCCTTGAGCTCACAGTCCTCCTTCCTCAACCTCTGAGCACCTGGAATCACATGCACAAGCCATCACACCCAGCCTGTCCCTGTCTCTCTGTTTTGGAAACAGATTCTCCTTAGGTAGTCCAGGCTGGCCTTATACTTGTGGTCCTCTTGTCTCAGTCTCCTGAGTGCTGGGATCACAAGTGTGTTTCACATTGCTGAGGTTTTGTTGTATGTCTTAATCCTTTCATCTTATAGATGTGGAAATGTGGGACCTAAGAGAGAAATTTACTTGCCCTAAGTTATAGAGGTTCATATTAGTATATCAGGAACTGGTGGCTAGATCTTTTAATTTCTAGCCAAGTATTCCTTTGGGTCCTCAGAATGGAGGATAGATGGTTAAGAAAAGGAGGCAATATGATTCACTTACTCTAAGGTCATGTAGAATATTTTCACATCAATAAGTATTGATAGGTAATGCTGAGGAGATATTGCAGTATCTTAGGATATTTAGATTTGTAACTCTGAATTATTACATATGATGCATGTAATCTTAATTTTATGTAACTTTCAAAATGCCATTTTTTCTTTATTCAGTGCAGTTACTATTGGAACTGACATGCTAGAATTGGACTGCCATATCACAAAAGATGAACAAGTTGTAGTGGCACATGATGAGAATCTAAAGAGATCAACTGGGGTCAACGTAAATGTCTCTGATCTGAAGTATTGTGTAAGTAAACAAATACATAAAATATATATAGTAGATATAAGCTGGTAAGACTTTTTAAGGCAGCGAAGGCTAAATATTGCTCCAATAACCAACTTGAAAATATTAATACTTAAGTAATAAATGTATTTAAGTGCTCTCAAGTAAATATTTGAAAACTATTCTGACTTCCAATGAGGATTTTATACGGTACAAACACACCTATGGATCAGCATGATGGTACATGCCTGTAATCCCAGTACTCAGGAAGCTGAGGCAGGAGGATTGCCATGAATTTGAGTCCTACTTTATAGGCAAGTAAAGCAAGTCCAAGGTCAGTCTATACTATATAGTGAAACCCCATCTCAAAAACAGAAAGGAAAAAAAAAAACACCTATGGAGACTTACTTTTATGTACATTTTAATAAAATTACAAGTCCTCAAATGTAAAACTATTAGAATTCAACTTGTTTATGTGATTCAGATAAAGGTACAAATTAAGTTTAGCCTTCACATAAGCACCATTTTAAAACCTGATCGTACTAGTTTATATACTCATTAATACTAATAAATGGAAGGAAAAATAATGCCTGCTTTTTACCACCTAAAGCAAACTCATGTTAACAGGATGACTATAGATATAAATATATATCTATTTTTAATAAAATATTGTTATATACATGTGTGTGTGTGTGTGTGTGTTAACACTTTTTGTTTGTTTATTTATTTATTTATTTGTCTTTTTGAGACAGGGTCTCACTATGCAGTTCAGGCTGGCCTTGAGCTCATCAATGTATTTCAGGCTGGTCTTGAACTTGCAATGATTCTCCTGCCTCAGCCTCCTGAGGGCTGGAATTACAGGGCCATGCACAGCTTATTTTTTGATTTTTTTTGAGACAAAGCATCACTGTGTAATTCAGACTATCCTTGTAGCCCAGGCTGACCTCAAACTCACAACAATCCTTATGCCTCCAAGCCTCCTAAGTGCTGGGACTACAGATGTGCACTGCCATACCTGGCTTTGTTTTTAATACTTTAACGTTATAAACCCTCTGCAGCATGATACTTTTCCATACTTTGTATTTTTATTTATTTATTTTGTGGCATTAGGGATTGAGCCCAGGGCCTGTGCATGCTAAGTTCTACCTCTGAACTGTATCCTCAGCCCTATTTAAAGTTTATTTTGAGGCAAGGTCTCTGAGTTGTCTCAAACTGTGATCCTCCTGCCTCAGCCTGTTAAACAACTAAGATTGCAAATGTGTGTTACCACACACTGCCCATGCATTTATTTTGCTTTTTTTTTTTTTTTTTTGGTACTAGGGATCAAACTCACGACTTCATCTTTGCCATGCTGGTACTTACGCCACTGAGCTAAAACTCTGGCTGCCCATGAGTTTAAAAAGTAAACCTTATTTTTCTTTATTTTATTTCTCATTTTATTTCTTTATTTTACTTTATTTTTCAAAGAAGTTTTGGGTTTGCAGAAAAATTAAGTGAAAAATAGTGTTCCCAAATCCCTAGCTACTAACCCTTCATAGGCACACCCTCTCCCACTATAGGCACCCACATCAGACTGGCATATTGTATGAAGGACCTGTGTGTACACATAATTACCATTCCAAGCCTGGAGTGCACCCTAGAGCTCACTTTTGGTGTGGTACACATTTCTGTAGGCTGTACCTACGTCACACTCAACAGTGCCACTACCCAGAAGCCCTCTGCAGTTTGCCTAGTTAGCCCTACCTGGCCACCACTGATCTTCTTGTTGTCTCTATAGTTTTTCTTTTTACAGTCTACCATAAAGTTGGAAACAGACAGCATTTAACATTCAGATTCCATGCTTAGTTCTCATAAATATTTCAAATGACCACAATTACTACATGAAGTAGATCTATAGTTGCTTTTCATAAGCCCCCTATTGCTAAATATTCAGTGAGTTCTATGTTTTTACCAGTAATACACTTTACTGAGCATCTTTATGTGCATAAATAAACTATATTTAGATGGATATAAAAAGTTATGTATAAAGACATATGTAGATGTAAAGATACATATGAAATCATTTAGAATAGTACTTAACTGTTTTAATCTACCTCTGAGAGTGAGATGTTGAGCACATTTTTCTTTTTGTTTGACAGTACTTTTTGACTTGTGCTACTATAAAATACTTCCAAGTGGAGGAAATTAAGAATTGTTACAATATATGAGGTGATGCAAATTGATTAGCTAGATTTTAATAATCATTTCCCAATGTATATAAAACATAAGGTGATGTCATATACCTTAAATACATATGATTTTATTTACCAGTTATAATCGAAAATCCATGGGCAGAGGCTAGGGATTTAGTGACATAAGTACCAGCCTGGCAAGCACAAGGTTGTAAATTCAATCCCTGTACCGAAAAAGAAAAAAAAAAAATCCAAGAGCAGCTAGGTAAGATGGTGCAACCTGTGATCCCAGCATTTTAGGAAACTGAGGCAGGATAATCACAAGCAATCACAAGTTCAAGCCCAGTCTATATAGTTCAATGATTTAGCAACACCATGTTTTAAAAGTAGAAGAAAGGGCTGGGAATACAGCCTGGTGCAGAGGCCCTGGGTTCAATCCCAGTACTACAAAATAAAGATGTAACTATTTATATAAGGTTATTTACATAAAATTTCTCTATGATTACTTTCTCTAAATATAATCCCAAAAAAGAAATCATTGTGTAAAAGATGGGAATATTATTGTCTTAATATATATTACAAGGCATGATTGAAAAATACTGTGATGTTTAAGTTTTAAAAAATTATTACAGGGCTGGGGATTTAGCTCAGTGGCATAGGCTCCTGCTTGCAAGCACGCAATTGTGAGTTTGATCCCCAGTAACAAAAAAAAAAAAAAATTACAGCCAGGTGTGGTTGCCCATGTCTATAATCCTAGTACTCGGTAGGCTAAGGCAGGAAGATTACTGAGAGTTCAAGGCTAGTCTGGGCTATATAATGAGTTCAAGGCCAGTCTCAAAAAGAAAAAAAAAATGTATTACAGCTGAACAGGGTGTCTGATATCTGTAATCCCATCACTCAGAGGCTGAGGTAAGAGGATCACTATCAGGTCCTGACCTAGATCTCCAGTCTCCCAAGGCTTAAATAAAATGTGATAAGTGATATGATTTTAGGGCTCCAAGAGGGTCAAAACCCTTTAGTTGAGCTTGAGACACCGACAGCCAAGACAAAGACTTCTCTGGATCAGTCCATTTAATTTATTAGGTCCAACAACAAAGGGCGGGGAGACTGAGGAAAGCGCAGGCAATAAGCAGGACCTTGGGAGTCACTTCAAGGACGTCTCCAAGTAATGAATCAAGTCAATTCATTAGAACTGTCTTATCATGAAGACATGGTAGAAGTGAGAATGTAGGAATAATTCCTGCAGCTGCAGTCTCTATCTTGTTAATTGGGGTTGGAGCCAAGTGTCTGAAGCTGTGACTTTATGTTGCCCTTTGAGGTATCTCTGACCTCACAGGCCACTACAGGCCTCTGTCAGAACCAGTGATTCATAGAGTTCACTTACTATGAATTAGTTCCTGTCGCCAGACAAGAGGCCAAGGCCTAGGACAGACTTCTCAGATAAACATAAAAAGCCAATTAATTTTAAATCCTGCTGAGAGCCACCTCGTAGTAGTCTCCATCAGATCACTTCAAAGTTGAGGCCAGCCTGAATTATAGTTCACTATAGTGAGACAGTGTCTAAAAAAAAAATTAAAAATAGGTAAAATTATTACAGTAAAAGACACATTACTACTAATCTTCCTGGAAGTCTTCTTCACTTTGAATACACTTATCCCATTATTCTGGCCACTTCCTGAAGCAGTTCTGGAAGAACTCCTCCGTGTCTTTAGCTGTACCTTCATTGCTACCTCACTGTCTTAAGTCAGTTAAAAACGTTTACTGTTCATCATTATTTTGACTCTGGCAAAGAGCCAGAAGTTGCATAGTGCCAGATCCAGAGATGATATGTACTGGTATTTATGACCCTACTTTTCTGTTGGATGACACTTGGTAGCAGCATTGACTGTATTTTTGGTCATACCTTGTAAAGACAAGAAAAAGAACTCCCAGAACTGCATCAGAAAGTGGTGCCATGCTATAATCCTAGCACTTGGAGGCTGATGCAGGATTGTTGCAAGTTCCAGACCAGTCTAAGCTACAAAGTGACCCTAAAAGTCAGTCCAAACTGCATAGTGAGACTCTGTCAAAAAAAAAAAGAACCACAATTCCCATTTTGCTGTACCCCTTTCGTTATTATTGAAGTTATACCAAAATTTTTCTGGTTTCCTAATTTAAATTTTAATTAGTATGCCAATATTTTGAGTACTTGAGAGTTTGAGGCAGGAGGATCCCTTTAAGTTTGAGCTCAGCCTGGGCTACATAGCAAGACCCTGTCACAAAAAAATTTTTTTTAATTATCATTTCTTTATATTAAGGGATTTGGGGGCTGGGGATTTAGCTCAACGGCATAAGTGCCTGCCTTGCAAGCAGGCAGTCGTGAGTTCAATCCCCGGTACCAATAAAAATGAAAAAGACAAAAAAAAACCCCAAAAAACTATTAAGGGATTTTAAGATTTTTTTCCTATGGTTGTTGTTTTTATTTTTTATCTTTAATTATCTACTCTGGGTATTTTTCTACTAAAATCCTTTATTTTTAATTTTTTTTTCCTTTTTATCGATACCAGGGATCAAAGTCACGACCACCTGCTTGCAAGGCAGGTGCTTATGCCGCTGAGCTAAATCCCCAGCCCAAACTTTTATCCTTTTTTTTTTTGTCAGTACTGGGGATTAAACTCACGACCATGCACTTGCAAGGCAGGCGCTTATGCTGCTGAGCTAAATCCCCAGCCCCTAAAATCCTTTATTATTATTATTATTAGTCTTTTTGAGAGAAGGTCTTGCTATTTGGTTGAGGCTGGCCTTGGGCTCACTTTGTAGCCCAGGCTGACCTCGAACTTACAATGATCTCACAATGTCTCAGCCTTCCAAGTGCTGAAATTACTGGAGTGTGCCACCACATGGGCTCCTTTTGTATTATTGAGAAAAGGTCTACATTAAAGGGTATCTATTTCTTGTAAGTGGTAAAAGTAAGTAATTATATCATTAATTTGCCTTTGGGGGAATTGTCCTAATGGGTGCTCTCTGTAAATGTGTGTAGCATTTTGTTCTCTTACTATTTTTTTCTTTGAAGAAACAAATTTCAACTTTCTGTAAGGCACTAAAATGCTTTTTATATTTGATGAGATTGGGCACATTCAGGGTAGTGTGACCATAGATAAGTGCTTTTTTATGTTTGAGAATTAACATTTTTTTCACTCATATCTTTTTAAGGAGCTCCCACCTTACCTTGACAAACTGGATGTCCCATTTCAAAGAGGTAATATTTCTCATTTATGGCTTATGCAATGACATTAAAGTCTATCTGTACACGTATGGAAGTGCACTTGTGTTCTTTATACTATTAAGTTCTTGCTAAAAGTATTTCCTTCTATGCATGTTCTTTCAGGCATGCAGATGTGAAACACTGATAGTCATCTTACACTGATATGGTCAAGTCCAAAGATTTAACCAGCTCCTTCTACTTAAATTCACATATACTTAATTTAAGCCTGAATACTAATTACAAGAAACTTGGGTATTATTAGAGTTCCTTTATATTTCTTTCTTTCTTTTTTTTTTTTTTTTTTTTTTTGTACCAGGTATTGAACTCACAACTTCCCTACACATGAATTGAGAGCATGCAGTATTTGTCTTTCTGTGTCTGGCTTCCTTTATTTAACATAATATTCATCAGGTTCATCCATGTTGTTGCAAATGACAGGCTTTTTTAGTAACTGAATAATATTCTGTTGTGTGTACATACCCCACATTTTCTTTTCTACCATTCATCCATCTACTGTTGGACATTTAAACTGACTGCATATTATAGTTACTGTGAGGGGTGCTAAAATAAACATGGAAGTACAGATCTCTTCCACATACTGATTTCATTTCCTTTAAATATGTACTCAGTGGTGGGATTGCTGGATCATATAGTAATTCTATTTTTAATTTTTTAAGGAATCTGCTGTTTTTCACAATGGCTATACTAATTTTCATTCCCACTAACAGTGTGCAAGGAGTCCCTTTTCTCTGCATCTTCACTGGCACTTTTTTTCTTGTCTTTTTGATAATAACCAACCTATGGAATAAGGTAATATGTCATTGTGGTTTTGATTTGTATTGCTCTGATGATTAGTAACATTACGTGGTTTTTTCTGATACACTTTTTTTCCGTCTCATATACTTCGACTTTTTTATTTGAGACAGGATCTCACTATATAGTTCTGGAATTCTCTTGCCTCAGCCACCCAAGTGCAGGGGTGGACATGTACCACTACCACCACATCCTGCAGTGCTTGGCTGTTCTTATATCTCTTTTTTAGAAAGGAATCTTTTAAGGTCTTTTGTCTGTTTTTTTGTTTGTTTGTTTGTTTGTTTTGAAACAGGGTCTTACTGTGCAGTTTTTTATGGCCCTGAACTCACTATGTAACCCAGGCTGGGCTCAAACTTGCAGCAATCCTTATACCTCAGTCTCCTGAGTGCTGGAATTACAGGTGTGTACCACCACACATAGATTTTTGCCCATTTTTAATCAGATTTTTTTTTGCTATTGATTTGTTAGATTTTCTTTTGTATGTTGTATATTAGCCCCTTGTTAGCTGTATAGCTTGCAAGTACATTCTCCCATTCTGCAGGTTGTCTTTTCACTGTTGATGATTTCTTTTGTTAAGCATGATCTACTGACACTAATTTTCAAAATTTGAATTGTGGCCGGGGATTTAGCTCAGTGATGTAAAGCGCCCGCCTGGCAAGCAGAAGGTTGTGAGAGTGCAATCTCTGGTACCAAAAAAAAAAAAAAAAAAAAAAGATTAGACAAAATGAACTGTAACTACCTTATGAGCTACATTTAAAATTGGCTAATATAAGGCTAGAGTTGGAACTCAGTGATAGAACACCTGCCAACTATACATGAGGTCCTGGTTCCTTCCCAGTGATAGGATTATTTCCAAAAGTTGAAAAATATTTCCAAAAGATGAGAAGTATAAAACAAAAAGCGGCCTTTATTCTGAGAATACGAAAGAGATGACCGGCACCCCCACCACTGGCGTCCGGTGATCTCTCCAGCGGACATGTGGCATGAGGCACATAAGTAGCCTCGGTTTGGGGTGGAACCTAAAGGGGGCATTAGGGATGTACATGTAGCCCATTGGTCCTAGGTTTGGCACCATAGGCAAATTCCCAGGGCCGGGGAAGATGGCGTCACAGGTAAATTCCTAGGGGTGGGGGAGATGGGGGTTCCTGCTTCCAGTTGAGGCTTTCCTGGCTACAGAGTCCTGTCTGGGCCAAAACCCTTTCATATCCCGTCATGATTATTATTATGAAAAGGGGCGAAGATTTTTCTCTTTAACTACTTCATGCTGGCAGAGGGTACTGTACTGGAGCCTAGGGGAGTTGACGGGATGAAGGTTGATGCCCAGGTAGATGCTGGTGCCAGGTGTTTTAGCCAGGACAACTTCACTGGTGAATGCACGTATGTCAGACTGGAAAAACAGAGACAAGATGTTATGAGGAGACATGGCACTGTCATATTTAAGGACCCAGGTGAAGTAGAGGGAAAGGTGCCTTTGATTTAGACATGTCATTCTATCAGGACGACCTTGAGGTAGGAACATTTCCACGGTAAGGCAGAATTCTGAAAATTAAATGTGGGGTTAGGAGGAGTGAAGTTAGAGGTACTTACTCCCCCATCTGAAAGCATAAAAGTTAAAAAGGGTAGGTGTGTAAGGCTTGTCTCTGGTATGCATGATGTTGGAGTCTGTAGGCAATACTGTTAAAGAGTCCTGCTGTAAAAATGATCATTAACAGAATGTAAGGAATTAGGAACCCAAGTGGATAACAAAACATGACTACCTGTGAGTTGTGGCTGTGAGGCCTTGGTAAGGCAGAGATGAGTAGGAAAAGGATGGTCAGATCTAGGGCCTGAGTGATGTGAAACCAGAATGGCAGTCTAGCAAATTTGATTGCTGTATCAGGTATGGGTCGCTGTAACTTGGTTGTAGTCCTTGGAATGATTTGCTGCAACAGAATTTTAGCAAGTATATCAGCAGTTTCCCTGGTTGTAAGAAAGGCTTTTATGTATCCTGAAAAAGTATAAACAAAGTGAGAAGACAAAATGTATCTGTCAGTCTTGACTAGGGTTACCTGAGAAATTGGTAAGTAAGAAAGGAAGGGGGTGGTCTTATATCACTGAGGAGAGGTTTACTAGCAATAACAGGTGGAAACTGTTGAGGCCTCAGTGTGTCTAAGTTAGCCTGTATATTTAGGACTGGGACCTGTATGAAATAGGCCCTGTTTGTAAATGGCATAGGTTGACCATCAATACCCCGTTACAGAGATTGAGGACTTAATATAGCAGCCTGAAAACTCAGGATGAACTCTGTATATATGGCCTCTATGTCCACACATATAGAGAATTGTCTTACCTGAGACTTCCGTGCGACTTGGACTCTGAGACGGACACCTTAAAGGGGGCTGTTGTTGCCCTGAACCCCCTCAGTCTTTGGCAGCAATTTTTTTCAGCGATGAATCTGGCAGTGTTGACATTTCCTGTGAGGGCTATAAGTTAGGATGGCTTACCCACTCTCTGGTGGCTAGGACAGTCCAGCAGCCCTGGAGTAAGGTCTCAAAGAACACCAGGATGGGGCATTTTGTTGCCCAATGTCTTCTGCTACATTTGAGCGTGGTCCATGGGAGGGCTAGGCAGCTCCACCTTGTGTAGGTTTACCTGCCTCAGAACTCCAAGTGTCAAAAGTGTTAAAAATATGAAAAACCATAGTAAGATCTCTCTAAGGTTTGAAGGTCAAGTTTTGCCTTTTTGTTTGGGATTTGGACTACAGTAAACAAGGCTGGTAAAATTATCAGGTGGCCAGTAACCTTGATTAAATGCTTTGAGAATTGTAATAAAAAAAATAGCCATGTTTATCAATCAAAGCCTTTTTTGTTAAATATGTAACTAAATAATTCCATGCAACACCCTAAAAGCGTTATGCCATCCAGATAAAGCCCACTCTCTGATCTGACATGCCAATATTAAACTCTAGCATACTTACATAATTCTACTGTAGTCCAAAAGTGGCCCTTCTGAACATGGTGACTGTCCTGGCGCAAGCTGGAATAATCACATGGCTTGCTGGAAGGACATAGCGACCAAGACCTAGTATGGTGGGCTGGTGGTGAGAATGCTGTAGGGGATAGAGAATTCCCCGGAGAAGAAGAAATCGGCGTCTATAAGGAAGCACTAACAGAGGGATTAGAGCTGCTGGGAGAGTTATGGGTCCCAGGAGACGGAGGGGAAGACGATCCCACAGCAGGAGATAATGGCAAGGAACCATTTTGGGGGTAGGGAGGTGGCGGCCAGGAAAACACCAGAGGGCAGGATGGAAAAGTTTGCGGCGCACTAGAGTTAGCTGAAAGTATCTGAGTGGGAGCACAAGACCTAATGAGAGACGGGCGTGTTCTCAGAATAAGAAAGGCCTGAATATAAGGGAGTTCTAATAATTTGTCGCTGGCCTGACAGAAATCGTACAAATTCCTGAGAATGCAGGGGTCAAATGTTCCTTCCTTGGGCCAACGATTGCCACTAAGTGGGTAGGTTGGCCAGACCTCCCAGCAGTAAAAAGGTAATTATTTAGTTTTTATGGTACTTTTAATTTTTAAAGTACATAAATTGGAAATTAGGCATTGTAAAGGCATCTTTTGGGAGTTAGAAAATATGTTTCCCATGACTGATTCAGGCAAGAAATAGCCATGGTCCAGAACAAGCCATCACTCATTTGTGGCACCACACAGCGGCTAAGATTCCAAAAACTCGTATATTCCATTCGTCACTGAGAGATTTACGAGTGGAGTTCACGTGGGGTCAGTAACAGTTTTGCCCGTGAAAGCATGAGGCTTTAAGGGAAGTGAGGGTCTTTCAGTGTGGGTGGTCCAAAAATCTCTGCTTTGGGCTATCCGAACCCAAAGAACGTGAGAGATTTTAGAGTGGGGACACAGGTTTGCCCAGAAAGAACCCTGCCCTGGGCTGTCCTAAGGATGTGAAAATGCCACAGACCCACAAGAACGGGGAGAACAGTCGACTGGGGCTGCCCAGTGCCAAGAATTCCCCAGAGAGTGCTCACCTGAAATCAATCTGGCTGATGGTGAGTGCAGGCGGCTGGCGACAGGGATGTCTTGGGAGAGGAAAAAGTGCGGAATTAATCCAGGATGTTATCTGGTTTGTGAATCGGCTGGGGACTCAACTGGGTGTGTCCCAGGATTCAATCACCTGCAGATCGA